CTGGGCCTTACCACAAGATGAGAAGGTTCACACATTCCTAATTAATTATTAATCAGTACTATCTGTCCTGTGAGAGAAAGCCCTGTTAATGAGTCCGGCGGTTCAGCCTTCATCTGCGACTTGACGTCATCGAAACCCCACCAGCTGACCCCAACGGTAGTCAGCCATGAATTTTTTATCGCGGCGGTATCGCCTTTTGACCCAAATATGCTGAGATTTGTACTTTGGAGTCTGGGGGGAATTTTTGGAGGGAACACCCATCCATAAAGATGCTGCCTGTAGCGGTAAGGGTAATGCATGTCAGCACAAATCACATCGCCCCATGAAAGATTGATCATCTTCAACAAAATTGATATTTCTGCTGGGATCTTATGACTGTTACGCATAATAATCACCCTGGACAAGCACTTCAGCAGAATGCACTGCACCTGCGCAAAACCTGGATTTTTCACGTTTTCGTAGGATGCTTGGTTAATACTGCACCAGCATGTGCCTTGTTGCACACAATATCTTTAATGACACATCAGTTGTCCTGTGGTGTAGGTGTTCTTTCTAAAGATTTTTTTTAACTTCCCCCTGCTACCTAATTCCATAACCAATACCAGTTTGGTACCAAACAGCTCCTGGGTACATGTACCTGTACAGTACCTGTATGGCTACTGTAATGTTTAATGGAAATGTATTCAAATTCTCTCTACCTTAAAGTTTGACAAATATACCAATAAAATAGGAGTTTTCTATCTAGCGTAACTAAGTATGATGTAACGCTTTCTAGGTTCATTTTGTGGGTACCCGAACAAGTGATTTGTGAACATCCCTGCCTGGCCCCAGTGTTTCTTCCTGCCAACCTTGTAGAACTAATGGCATAATGATGGCGGTCTCACAGGCAAGCCAACTGAGACCTTACATTACATTACACCTAATTGAGGGGGAATCATGGTGTTGTGATTCGGTGTTCTCAACCATCCATTATGTCCTGCACAGTTCCAGAGTTTCGTAAGTGGTGTGCAACTGGGGCAAACCATGTGGAAAATGCATGGAATACACAACATCCCTGCACTCTTTTCTGTGTATCTACCCTGATAATCGAAGAATACAAGAGATATGCCCCCCCCCCCTAGTGTCTGGGCTGGTTTTGTCATGGACCAGTGCAGGTTAGGTGTAGGTAGACATCAGAAGTACCTGCACAGCTGCACTAACCTGCATAAGCAGGTGGTATTTCAAACCTTGGCTTGGATATTTAGTGCAGGTTAGGTGCAGGTAGACATCAGAAATACCTGCACAGTTACAATTTCACCTGCACTAACCTGCATATACAGCCAATAATACGGGTGATATTTTCAACCCTGGCATGGAATGCACAACATCCCATTCTCCATATGGGGTAACCAGCTGTGAAATCCTGGCAGGCTGGGAAAGATTGTGGGGACGTCTTTGTAAAATGGCATGTGTTAATTTCAGGTCAAGAACTCTTGCAATATTTATTCTTCCATCTCAAAGTATTCTAAAAGTTTGTGTTTGCCTGATAGATATCCAGCTGTTTTCAGCACTAAATTAATTGAAGTATTCCACATCAGGAAATGGATTCAGATATTTCATGCTATCCTTACTAATAATGAAAGTTTTGTAAACTGTCTTTCCAAATCCTCATTCTAACCCTTTTCAAACTTGGTGTTTAGTATTCAAGTCATGCACAACATATATCCTGCTGTAGTTCTTGCTGTGTGCATCATATCTTTGTTCTTTACATGTATGTGAAAAAGGTGCCTCTGAGATGCTCATGCTTCTCAAATAGAATTTATGATATAAGGTTTGCGTAATATCTTAAGCCTCAAGCTCTCACGGTATCATGAATTTTTCTCATACCGTATGTCAGTACGGAACTGTTATGTTTGTTACATACCCAACAGCATATAATGCCAAGCCATTAAAACAATGAGAATACGGCATTCTATTGGTACTTAAGAACTTAGAACATAAATGCCATATTATTATAATGATTAGCAGTCATGCATGTGCTGTTACAAAATACCTATAGTGACCATTACTCCACTCAAGCATCAATAAATGCTTAAAAGCAATGAAACATGTCCCTGGGCAAATCAGAACTGCCGTAACATGCGAACATGTAACAGCTACAGAGCTTTAATTTGCAGACAGCTTCATTTGTAATGCAAGAAAAAGGCTCAAGGGTCAAAAAGCTGTGTCCCAAGGAGGTCACACATAACATGAGCTTAGTCTTACATATTCTAGTGCTTGCCTTTGTCGTAAAGAAAATGCATGAATAGTGATGGGACAAATACTCTCCCTCATTAGACCATCTAACTCTGTATGGTCGAAAATCTCTTGTGATCACAGTAAGGCTGTGATTGCAACTTCACTTGCAGGTAGCAAATCCAAATTGCACAATTTTAGCTAACGTAAAAGCATCACGCTTCGTCCAACATGCCCTGAATATCTAACCCTGGTGCCATATCCTTTCATAGTTACCACCCGCGGGCTCTCTTTTTTTGCTTGCTCACTACCACATTGGCACCTAGACTACTTAATATCATTACGAATAATCTGTGATTCTGCAATTTATAAATTATATTTGCAATGGCAAGAAAAAAAGGTTGTGGACATATGGTGAAATTCATCATGACCAATTAAAATTACAGTAAAGGCAATTCCTCAGTAAGGTAACTAAATAGCTTTAAACAATACCTGAAGTTTGATATGCAGGTGTTAGGTGGATATTATAATCAGTATGCCTGCAAAGCTGGTATGTTGATAAAGGGCAATATCCTACGGAGACATTGCCTTAAAACTACATACATTGTAGCTTAAGGTACTAAATAACCCACCCTGAGGACTTTTGGGGTGTACTCATTACTAGAGGAGTAAAATCAACGTTTAATGTTGATTTTATATCCCAGAGTGCAAAAACATGTAAATAGGAAAAATTGGCTGAGTAATTATTTTTCCAGCAACCTTGAGAGCCTGGTAGAGGCTCCATTCTACCCACTTATGTAGCCTGCAGTATCTCCCATTTGTTGACTCGGTATTTAATGATACTTCCGTAGTGCGGGGGAGGGGAATTTTCTGCAACAGTAGTTCTCAGCTAACATGTCCACGTGAGTACGCCTGCCTGCCTGCCGGCTATGCGTGGGCGGAGGGAAAGTTTGCGTCATCTCGGGAGTTAGTCAGAACCTTTACACCACTCTCTACTCAGATGGCTGCGAATGATAATATCTTTTGCAATTTACAAACTGTTAAGCTATGAAAACTAACTCTGTGTGCGACTGTGTGTGTGTGTGTGTGTGTGTGTGTGTGTGTGTGTGTGTGTGTGTGTGTGTGTGTGTGTGGTGGTGTAACAAAAAGGGAGAGATATTTTAAGATTCTAAGATTTAAGGATCTACATTTGATATATGATGTAACAAATTGGGGTGTAAAGTCTATTTGATTGTATAAGAAGTTCCTTCACTTTGAACTTGTTTTACACTCCTGAACATTGGACAGGTATAATCCCTTCTCTGTAATTCACCCTCTCATCTTTTCATATGTTTCCAGTCATGAAGACAGGGTAATGTATAGTGGATATAACAGATAATGTCTACCATTGGTGTGATTAAGCCCCATAATACGGTAACTTCAGAAAGAAAAGAAGATAGAGCACAAGATTCATGAACTCAGAAATAAAGCTATATGTAAAGTACAAAACCATCTTTCCCATTAACCATTGGTGGGAATAAGCCCCTTAATACAGAAACTTCCAAAAGAAAGCAGAATGAGGGTTTAGAAAGCTTTGATATCTGAAGTATCACATAAAACCTTCCTACATAACATATCTCCAATAACCATTGGTTAAAGTCTGAAGTATTAAGAAAAGAAAATCTTTTAACACGACGCTTCCCCATCAACCATTGGTGTGTTTAGGCCCTTAATACGGTAACTTCCAAAAGAAAGGAAGATTTAGTGAGAAGGTTTATAAAGAATTGAAATAAAGCTTAAAGGTATCCAAAGTTTTTAGTTAATAAAACCTTCCTACACGACACTTCTCATCAACTATTGGTGTGTTTAAGCCCCTTAATACTGTAACTTCCAAAAGATTTTGTAAGATAAAGTATGATGGTTCAGGCAGATGAAAATGGATTTGGTATTAAGTAGATAGAACCTTGCTTCTAGACACTTCCCCATTTAGCGTTGGTATGATTAAGCCTCTTAACACGCTCACTTCCTAAAGAAAGGAAGATGACGTACGAATGTTCATGTTCATGTGCCACAGCGTCTTGTTTAGAATGCAAAGCACGATGTAGGGATTTATAGTACTATATATACAGTATGACAAACTGTAATCTGACAAAGCGTCGATAAAGGTTAGACATCCAGGGCGAGAATTATGCGATGCAAAATAAATCAACTGACAACTGGATAAATCCTTTGAAGAATCAGATGTTTCTTCAGTATTACATATTGATTTTTATCCTCGTTAACTTTATATTGTCTTCAGATGCATTCTTAGTCCCTGGTGAAAAAATTACAATCTCTTTAAAGAATTTATCTGGTTGTTTGATCTATTTTGTTTTCCATGTACATCCATCTTCCAATGCCTCACGTACGCCGTTTGGTATGGCTAGCACATGTAGGGACTTATCATATATATGATATGTTATGATCTATATGGCAATCTGAAATCTGCCATACAACAATGGATTGCCAGTTTGTCTTGAAGTTATATCTATGATGGGACAAACACCATGACATGCCTCACAAAGTTTTATTCAGTGTCTGATGCACAGTTCAGGAGTCAATTTCTTCTGTATTTTGAAAACATATGAATGGATCTTTCACAAAGTAACATATGTACCAATAAGAAAAGTAAAGCTTTTTACTGCAATTTTTTTAACGACCTTTCTTTACACAGCATCATGCAGGCTATTACGCAGCTGACAAGGTTCATACTTATCCCTCAGACTGAGTGTTTCCATGACTAATGTATTTCTTCAAATCTGGCTCGGATGCCAGACCCAATGCAAGGTGATGACAATCCCTTCAGCTGGGGAACAACATACATGACCCACTCTCAGAGCTGGCATCCCTACGTAACCCATCGTTCAGTATTATAGCCAGCAGCTGCAGCGAAGCTGGTGTGTTAGTTCAGGACGAAGGGCAGATACCGGCTATGCAGATACAGGTACTGAAGCTGGTGTGTTAATAACACATCAGCTTCAGTATTGCTTAAGGACGGTTATACTTGCTATACAAGCCAATCTACTTGTACTGCATCTGGCATCCAGACTACTTCAGGTCTAGCCCAGCATTTTTCATCATCAGAATACCAGGAAATCGATTTGCTCTGACTCCTCTCATGTCCTTCATCTGACATTTTCTAACATGTAGGAAGGTTAAGCACACTTACTGTAATACCGGTAAGAAGCTTGTGTAACAGTACTCTATTAGCTTTTTTGATGGTTGCAAGTACTGTAAGTTCTCATTTTGTGTTATATAAGTTTCTGTATACATGTTGAAGTGGTGTCAAATGGCTGAATGGCTAAGGCAAGTGGACACGAAATTGGGGGGTCATGGGTTTGATTCCTTGTAGTCTTGGCTAGGTGTTATATTGAAAAAGACACTAGCCTCCTGCTGTAGTGGCTTAGTGTGTATGGGAGTTGAACACACACCATGGAGTTGAACACACTCCTCTACCAGTGGACTAGCCCCCTGCTGTAGTGGTATAGCTGTGTGGCCCTAGGGCTATATTGAAACTTTTTTTTTAAGTTTTAAAGTCTTAAGGAGGATGTGCCTGCAGTTAACTACCAATCAATATAACCAGTGGCAGTTATCTATCCTTAGCAATTCATGATAATATGTAAGCTTAGGCTATTGTATTTCAATTAAAAATGTACTTACACACAAAATTTTATTTACTCTCAGACTATAAACCAATATGACCCACGGTCACCAGAATTTATCCTAGAAAGTAAAAATACTAAAATTCTCCATAAAAGTGCTGTAAAATCTAGTTTTATAACTTTTTTTATAACTTTGGCCCAAGCGAAATTTGAAATCGACCCCATTAAATAATTGAATACCTGTATGAGCCCCGATTATGACGTTCATCCCAGTTAACTCGAGGTAAAATTTCCCAGTAAAATATAATTCTATATGCGGCCTAAGTGAACTTTGAAATTAACCCAATATAAGAAATGTCAACAGAGGTACGGATGGCAACCTTTCATAGAGCCAGGTCTCATAAAGGATGTTAATGATATTTATTGTTTTTTCTCCTACATGACTTTACCTTGACCTCGCCATGGCATTCTAGTCATAATGTGCTATGGTGTGAAGTGTCCTTACCTGAACTCGTAAAGTTTTGTAGTGAGGTGCCGTCTTTGCTGAATTCATGGTTGTCAAACTAAATAGACTCTGTCTTGTGAATTTTAACAGACTGAGTCCAGATTTGAAGGTGGTAGCAGTTTTATGCATACAAATGCACCCATAGTAAGAAAGCACCACAAGTGTCTACATGAATGTGGGTCGTAAAATTAATTTACTGGTACACTCTCTATGGCTTAAACTATTTTAAGGATGGTGAATGTTTGTTCGTACTTGTACCTGTTGGAGGAAGCTGACTTGTTTCAGGTAGATCTTGTGTTTTGAAGCTCCACCCATCAGTTTGCAATCATACTGCAGCATACTATAAGCAAAGAACCTGAGACAAGATGAAGCAAAATACTAAAATTCTTCTTGAATCTCTTTCACAACCGTATATCACCTTCATTAAAGAAGTGTTGTAATTTTTGCAGCCTGATCGAAAATTATAACAGTTCACTTTTGATGAAAAGTAACAATTACACGCAACAGTCAAGCATGCTCAGGGAACTGGTCTTTTGGTACAGGCAGCCTTCTTAGAACGGTGCAAAATGAAATGTTTGAAGTCATGGTATTTTATTGGAACATAAAACTTGAATCATCTGACAGTACATCGTTCTTTCCAGATGCTGCATGGAGACTAGAAGATGACGACAATGTCAACTACCTTTGTGCAATAGACGACATCAGGATCCAGACTGCCGACACTGTCATTCAGGAACTGGTGAGGCATTTCTCCTTTTTCTCTTTATAGACTTAAAGTTTCTTTGTCAGTTTCTTAGGAGATGTCCACTCCGACACTCTGTGCTTTCCTAAAGGAAAAAAAATCTATAAGAAATCTGTGAAATGACGGGAAAATGGTTATCAGAAGAAAGTACCTAGAAGTGCACTTTCATAATGCTAAATGTCAAGTGTCAAATTTACATGAATACGGTATCTTTGAATTGACTCCCAATAACCACCTGTTAGTAAACCTGCTCTCCAGCTCCTTCTAGCAGTTTGTAACAGAATTGCAGCCCTATAATGCTGGTTTGGCACCTTGGACAGGGAGGGATGTTTCCTAGCTGTGTTGATAGCCTGGGGCCAAGGCACACTGTGTCAGCATACACTGTGTCCTGTTATCAGCATACACATCCATGTTTAGAGAGAGGGAGGGAGAAAAGAGAGAGAGAGGAGAGACAGTCAGGGAGGGAGGGGGTAAGGCACAGAGGGAGACGTACAGAAAGAGATACAGACTGAGAGGTAGACAGAAGGAAAGTGAGAGTGGATAAAAGGGCAGAAAGAGACTGGAAAAGTGAGAGGCAGATCTAGAGATCAAGAGAAAGACAGGGAGAAAAGACAGAGAAGAACAGAAAAATCTTTCAGCTCTCCTTTCCTACCATTCTTGCCTCTTTATTGGCAAAGGATGGCAAAGGATGTTTTGTATCGACATGTCATGTATGTTGAAAATGATAGCCTAGGCCAGGCCAAACAGTGTGGGGTCTCTTGTCTATCTGTCATCACCTGTGGGGATGTATCAACACTGGATTAACCGTTAAGCCCTAGGGACTCTCTGGGGAGAATGTTTGGCTTCAGATGTACACAGTTTGGATACCAAACACTGTTTCTACTTTCCAGTAAGAGCTACTTTGAATTAAAGAGGCTTACACTAATGCTGAAGTTTAGTTACAACTGTGGGAAAAGTAAATAAACCTGGCCAAAGCGTCTTTCAGTGGGCTGTACCAGTATTACTGTTTAGTCTGTACATAATTATACAGTAATTAGATTATAATTTGGCATTCAGACGCTTTGCTTGACAACAGTTACAGTAGGGTGTTCTCCTGGAGCTCTGAGGTAAAAAGGTTTGTCATTTTTTACCTGTGTCAGGCAATTGTTGAAATGTTCTCCTATTCAGTAGTACTGGTACTACATGTATATGTAAGCTGTAATCTAGTCTGGAATCTAGATTTAGAATGCCAAGACTGAAAGTACTGTCACTGTTTCTTTGGATTGACCAGGCAATTTTTTAATTCATCTTAAAGAATCTTTAATTTTCTTCTTAGATTTTTTGTTTTTTCCAATCAAGACTCCAAACAGTACTGTGTCCAGAACTGTGTCTATCTAGTTCTATGTCTGAATAAGTTAGGGTTGAGATCAGACACAGTTCTGGATAGTCTTCACGTATCCAAGAACGTAGATTTGCCCAGGTACGGTTCTGGATAAAGCACAGTTCTAAATACAACAATAGCAAGCTGTTGTAGGGTCAGAAAAATACCCCAATATTGACCACAAATTAGAGAACAAAGGAATCTCCTGTCTTTATCTGGAGTAAAAGTGGGTCAGAGAGAAAGCACTGTAACTCATCAAGGTAATTATAATGTCGTCTTGGTGTTTCACCTCCGGTGAGGTGTGTAATTTTCCCACCTGCCGAATCAACACAGCGGAAACACCAGTCCTGAAGATACTCTCCATGCAGAGGTTTAGGCTTTGACTTATTTTTGAGTCAGACGTGTTTCAGCAGTTTTTATTGGGCTTCTTTTTTTTTCTGGTACCTTTTCTTACACCAGTCTAATAGTCTGTTTTTTGCAGTTGTCAAAGGTAAGTTTGATATCTATGGAACAAATACTTAAGAGATATATAGATTTGAGTCTACCTCAGAGCACTTTAGTTTTACACAATACTATGATACTCAAGGACTCTGTATGGATGTCCTATAATATACTAGTGTGTAACTTGCTTGACGAATCTAATTGCATTTTTGAAAGATCGAAATATCTTTGTCTAATGGTTCAATTACCCTTTTTATTTTTCTCTATAAGTCTTTCAACCCATTGCAATACCACCTACTTTGTTGTTTACAGTCCAACACCATTGAAGGTTCATCTTTCACTTGTATCCTTCTGTCCTTTTCAAGATCAATTTCCAGAAAACCCTGCGTGTGTTGGGTGACAATAGGTCCCTTTGACATGTTGACTTTTCCGACACGCGTTTTGTGATGTGGGATCTTTGGTGTCAACGTGGGCTTTTCCGCTGTTGCCTCTGAATGTGTTACTATGGCACAGTTTCTATAGGCTGTTGAAAAAGGAAATACTACGTTGCTTACTTCCTAAGTGGTTAAAGCTAAAGGGGACCAAGCTTTAAGGCATGTTTATCTTTGTTTTTTAAAATACTTTAATATAGTTTACGAGGTTCAGTCATGAAAGGAAGCAGAAAAGGAGATTTTCTCCTCTCGATTTACTGTTTTGTTGAAGTTTTCATGTAACCAATCATCGGGCAG